TCCCAAGGGAAGGGGAGCAGTTTCTAATGCTGCTGCTCTCTCATTCCCCAGCTTGCTGATATCCTCTGCATCCCCCTCAGTGCGTGCCATACTCATGGCTTTGTACAGGAGATGGACAAGCCCTGAGCACAGGATGGCCCCATAGCCTGGCAGTGCAGTATAGGAGATGCTCCCCATCAGAGCAGGGAGATGTTGATGGGGAGCACCCCAAAACACACCCCACTGTGTGCAGGCAGAGGGAGATTTCATCTCCCAGCTGGGCTTATGTCCCAACCCTGAATTCCTCCTGGCCCTGACAGAGATCCTGTACAGTTTAGAAGATGAGTTTTTTGCATTAAGTACAGCAAATCAGTAATTCAGAAAAATATTTTGGAGTGAGAGCTGGTTTGTTCTCTAAGATCTTTCAAAAACCAGGGGGAATAGGAACACCTGAACTTCTGGATTCTGCTAAAGGGCATGATGCCAGCTGTCCTGGGAAATGGTGGAAATTTGGGAACCTCACCCCCAAATAACCCAGGAGACCTGCAGAGCGATGCCTGGCTGCAGAGTGAGAGTGTACTGGCATCCATCCCACTGGGTCTGACCCTGTGCCCTCCCCTCCACAGCAATACTTCATCCTCCTCATCATCACGGACGGGGTAATCAGCGACATGGATGAGACGAGGCACGCCGTGGTGCAGGCGTCCAAGCTGCCCATGTCCATCATCATCGTGGGCGTGGGCAACGCTGACTTCGCTGCCATGGAGTTCCTGGACGGGGACAGCCGGGTGCTGCACTCGCACACCGGCGAGGAGGCCGTGCGTGACATCGTCCAGTTCGTGCCCTTCCGCAACTTCCGCAACGTGAGCGAGGGCAGGGGAGGTGATCACAGGGGAACGGGGGTGTCGGACCTGGAAACACCCTGGAAGTGGAACAACTTCCATGGTAGAGGCAGGCAGAGGCAAGAGGTGCCTGCCTGTCTTGCTCTGTCTTAGCCTCAGGGATGCTCCAGCATGGATCACATAAATCAGCACTGCAGGCAGGGGCAGGGAGGGATAACTGCTCTGCAACTCTAGTGGGCTCCACCTGAGCATGCCATGATTCTCTGTCATTGTCAGACAGGTGCGAGCAAAAACCAGTGACTCAGAGCAGGATCTGGGTTCCTGGTCCCTCACCACAGTCCTGTGATGGTTTTGGTGAGTCCCACTCAGTCCTCATCCAGCACCCCTGATGTACCACACACCAAAAGTTTCATGCTGAATTGTCCTGAGAAGGAGCCCCATGCTCCCTGATCCCCTGTAGGAAGGGGCAATGGTGCCACTGGCCCTGCACATCCCCTCTGTGGGATAGGTCCATTGCAATCATCCAGGAGACAACTCTGGGACAGAGGCTGTTGCTGGCACAGCATTGATTCCAAAGGATGGAGCTTGTGCTTATCTTCCCCTTTTTTGCAATTAATCAGTGTCTTTCTATTTCACCTCCTGGTACTCATACCTGTTTTTTCTGACCTACCCAGGATGTTTTATTCCTCTGTACCAGTGGATTCTCTCCTGGAAGGAAGGGTAGTATAATATAATAATCCCAGGTGTATAAAATGCTGGCTATCAAGAGACTCTAGGGTGCATTAAATGAAATGCCAAGATCTGGAGCTGGGGACAGCCCAGCCACGTTTGCTCAGTTGGCCCCGTGCCACTGTCCTAACACTGGTGTTGGTTCCCTTTGGCTCACAGGTCCCCAAGGAGACCCTGGCCAAAGCTGTGCTGGCAGAGCTGCCCCAGCAAGTCGTGCAGTACTTCAAGCACCAAAACTTGCCACCCATCAACTCGGAGCCCGCGTAGAGCTGTGCCAGGCTGCACCCTCTGCATGTCGCTGAAGCCTGTTGGTCCTGCCAAAAGCACGTTCCACATGCTTTTCAAGAGAAGAATACCCTCCCTGAAACACTTTGTACTTCTTAATTTAATTGCTAAGTTCTTAAGACTCATCCCAGCAAAGTGTCTGGATTCATTTTGTACAGTCTTGGCCCAAGGTAACACTAAGCAGCCAGGCCATGCCTTGGTCCTGCTCCGTTGAGTCACTTTTCAGTATTGAATGTACTTTGTATAATTTCAGTGGTACAGGATACAATTTTTATGATCAAAACTTGCTTTTTCCAAGCAATGAAATGCTTAATATATTATTATCATTCAATGAACTGGTCGTTGTATAGTTCATGTATTTGTGTTGTACCTGTACACCTGTCAGGTTCTGTGTTCATTTTTATACTGTGTACATGTTATATTTGTTATACTCAGGTTAATAAAGAAACTTGGACATTTAAAACAAGTCTCCTGGATGGGAAGGTGTGGGAGCAGCTTACGCTGTCAGCAGTGCTGGGTGTTTGGAGTCACCCTGACAAGGCTGTCCTGGTCCTGCTGGCTGTGCCCCAGGATCAGCCCCACACTGTCAATGGCAGCATCCCAGAGAGAGATTTAATGAAGGTGGATATCCTAATGCCTGCCTGAGCTGAGTCTGTGTGCTTGGGAAAAACCCTAGTGACCCCACAACAAGCCATCAAAGGGAGTTTCATGGTTCACTGCTGCTTCAACTCCAGAATTTTCCAAGTCTGAGTAACAAAAGCTCCCTGCTGTCTGGGATGAGATGGGCTGGGTAATGAAATCCTGCTCTCCAGCAGCTCCTTTGAGCTGCTCATCAGCAATGTGCTAATTGCTGCTTTATGCTGTTCCTAACTAGATTAAGGTCTTTTGAAGCTGAGTATGCTGTTGAATTTCCGGCAGGGATCACCAGCCCTACTCCAAACTCAAGCAGACTTGACTCGAGTCTCCGCCCCATTAATGGAAGCTTTTGAGGTGGGAGGTTGCTGTCCCTATATAAAGCCTGTAGTCCTTTCTGCACAGGCATGTGCTACTGGTTGTGCTCTCTGCCAGCAACCCTGTGGCTGTCACTGCTGCCACCGAGTCACCAGCACACAGCTGCACACAGTGAGTCGGCTCCAAGCACAGCGCTGGGTGAGACCCCATCCCTTGGGAGACGTGGGACTGCTCCGAGAAACATTTGCCTTGCAAAACCTTCTGGAAGGGAAAATAAACAACCTTTTCCAAAGGGAGAAGCAGCCTTTGAAGGGTGGCTTGTTTAAAAATAATGCTGTATCCAGCTCAGCTTCCAAATCGAAGTCTGCGGCTTTGGAAAAACTTTTTTTTTTTTTTTTTAAATTTCCATAAGAGAACCCCACACGCAGCTGCAGGAGCTTGTAAGCTCTTCTGCTAGTAGAGTGTTTGTGGGGGTTTGTTGGGTTTTTTTTAACACCTCGCTGAAGCTTTAACAACTAGCACAGACAACAAGTGGTTTATTGAGCTGTCCCTGGGGAGGGGATGAAGCACACACTATGCTTCATGTTTTTTTCTTAAAAATAACAACAACAAAAAAATCTAAATCCACCAGTGAATGAGAGCTGCTGGAGCCAGCTAAAGCCAGTTCTTAGTCCCCAGCTTTGGCAGCCTGGGGCAAGGTTACTTCCACAGCTGCCCTTTTCAGGTCTGATTTATCCTCCATCCCATGCACTCTGCACTTCCCAGCACGTCTCCCAGGGCACTGGAGTGTTTTAATGTCAGGTGGTTTCTGATGTACAAAGGTAAATGGGACCAAGGGATGGAGTGAGGAGCTGGAACAGTTCTGCAGTTTGTTTACACAGGCTAGGCCCTGAGAACAGCAGAGCTGACTCAGACTCAAAGGCATTCCCCAAGTGTCCTATTCCATTCTTCTAGGAACAGGAGAAAGGCAGAGGGCCCTCACATCTGCTTTTCCTGGATTATGTCTCCTCCTGGCCTTGCATAGCCCCATATACACACCATAATATACACACCATCTCAGCTGCAGCCCACCACTGTATTTGCCACAATTGGCTGGAAACTCCCACTATAAATTTCTGTCTAAATCAGGCATTTTGACTGCAGCTGTGCAAGATACCACCTAGGAAAATGGACCCAGCATCTGACAGCTGGGCCAGGCTGTTCTGACTCTACAGTCAGATTATTGATCTAGTTTAATGCCAGGGAAGAACATCAGCAGCTCTTACACCAACTCCTTGAGGCTCTTGCCCAAGCAACTTTAATAAAAAAAATCCTTTTTTTTTTTTTTTTGTGCACCACTTCCATTTCATTCCATAGCTCAGTAAGATGAAAGTCATGAAAAGCAAAGCATTAGGGAGGCTGCTACTTATTTTCCACCTGAAAGTGCCATAATTACAGTAGCTAAAGAGGCAGGAGCAACTCTGGAGCAAACACAGGAGGTGCCAGGCAGCCCAGAACAGGGGAGGAATTGCAGTGTGTTTGTAAGGATCTGACTGTGGGACAGGGCTGTGCAAACAGAAAGGGTATTTGCCTAAGGATAGCTTCATTGTGAGAACAGCTCTCCCCATTTCCTTTGGAAAATTCAACACTCAAGCTAAGGCATGAATCCATTACAGGCCTTGTTTTCTGTGCTTTTAGCCCAGCTGCTCCCTCACAAGTCCCTCAGTGTCACCTCCAGGTAAGTGCCCTTTGGCACACGCTGACCAGCTGCTATCTCACAAGGGTAGTACACAGAGCAGGACTGCACAAAGACACTTCCACCCCTGAGCAGCCCAGCTGAGCTCTTCCAACTCTCCAAACTCCCATCAGCACAATGACATTAAAAGGATGGGCCCTCAGCCCTACTTCTGCAATTCTCCAGCCTCTGTACAAAGGAGTTTGGCTGAACAGGGGAGTCCCACCTGCTCCGGATTTATGCCCTTCAGGACACTGCTGCTGAAAAGCTGCATGACTTGTCAAGTCCCAGTGCTGGTGCAACAGCCTTTGAGCAGAAAAGCCAACTGCAGCTCCTGTGAACTCACCCAGACCAAGTTTTCCACCAGCACCTCTGCTTTTGTGGGAAACTGACCTACATCTCTTGTGGATGGTGGTTTGAGTGAAGGGCTGGTTGGGTAGAGCAGAAATTGATTAATGGAATGAGAACAATTATGAATGGCACAGGCAGAGATAAAAAAATGCATTCAGAACGTCTTTAATCATGTAACACTAAAACTTCTTTACAGTGTCATGGCAATCTACACTTCACCATCTGCTCAAATTTGGTTCTGCCCCCATTTTTCAAATACAGAATAAAAATGACATTTTAAAACAGAACACATGGCTGCTTCTACAAGACTTCACTGCTTCAAGTGATTATTTTTTGCCTGTAAGTCTTGTATAAACTTCTTAAATCAACATAATTCTTTCCATAAGAATTGTAAAAGATAAAGCTCTCTCCTCCATACCCTCAGACCTTTGTGACACGGTTAGGAGTGCCTTCTGCTTTAGGATAGCAGCTTTTCTTCCAGGCTCAGAAATGCACCCCAGAAATGGAAAGTTGGGGGGTGGGGAATAATGAGTTACTTTAGGAGTATCTGAGTGTATTACAGTTGAGAAGTTAGCTAGAAAGATTATATTTGGGGCAGAAGGATGCAACAAGCATCCATCAGAGCTTTGGAAGATATTCTGCACTACATTACTCACGGAGGGATTTTGTTATGGACCATCAAAGAAACTGTTGCCACGAAAGACAGAAGAGACAATTTTGCCAGTGGAATTGATGGTGCCTTCGCTGTCCGAGCTGGACTCCGAGTCGCTGCTCCCCGAGTAGGCGCCCAGGCCAGGCAGGATCCCAATGCACACGGCTGCTGAGGGACAGTGCACTGTGGAGCCTCCCACTGAGCTGCTCCCCAGAGGAACACAGGAGGGTTTTTCTGGAAGAGACAAACCTCTGTCAAAAACTGGAGTGCAGGAAGGGGCTTTCAACCAGCCCAGGAACCGCCACGTGTCACTCACCTGCTTTTGCCACATAAGCAGCAGATGATTTCAGCATTTAATTAAAGCATAAGGCAGCTTTATGCTGTAATAAAGCTATTCTGACAGGGAAGACTTGCTACCTCAGGGGATTTTTTTCTTCTATCACTAGTTTAAGCCCAGCTCTATGCTGGCATTACAGATTTTTTATTCTAAAGTTGTCAGTTTGATGCTTGTCATGTACCAAACCCACTAAATAAATGTTTCTGCTTTGAGTAATTGAGTATTTTTTTTGCAATATAACAGCATAGTTGAGAAAAAGTTTTATTCCATCATTCTGCTAGTCAACATCACCCATCTTCCATGGCTAATTAATTATTTCTGCTGTTCTGAAAGTTTACTGAACAGAAGGAGATTCAGGAAGCGCCTTGGGTTGTCGTTACACAACTGCAGCTCGCCCGATTTGTGTCAGAGTATCTTGACAGCAAGTCAATTGCAGCCCTGACAGCTAAAGCTTTAACACAACTTAATTTTTCTTCTAGTTCCCCACAATTTTCTGAAACAAATTGATTTCAGGATGGACTGAATCACCTCAGAGCATAAAGCTGAAGTGGATGTATACAAATACCATGCAATGCTGCTGTGAAGAGGAAGGGAATGATCTGTTCTCCATGTCTCCTGCCCACAGAACAAGCATTAGGCTTGAAATGCACCTAAGGACAATTCCATTAGTTATCAGGTTAAACTCTTTCAGATTAATAAACTTCTTGAAGGAAGGCAGTCTCTGTGTGTGGAGACTTAAGAGCTCCTTAGAACAAACATCTGTCAGGACTGGTTTGGGCAGGGGACATCTTGATAACCTGCAGAGATTCCCTGCAGCTCTGTTTTCCATGAAGGCTGTCAGCACCCACACTTACCATTTCTACTGCTTTAAAAGAGAATGTGCCAACCAAAGACCATGCTGTTTTGCCCAGTGAAGGAACACAAAAGCAAAGCCTCTATGAGATTTAACCCGAACTCAGTTGCTGGTCAGTGACAGACACACAGCTTCTCACATGCAGCAGTTGGGACATACCTTGATTCTTTTCGTCGTGGTCAGTGTCTAGTTTCAACCTCTTCACACTGTTACCACTATCTGAACTGTGGAAAAAATGAGAAAGAGTCTTGTTCTTCATAAGCAACCACTTAATCACTGTGAAATCATTGCTACATCTTTGCCTCAAAAGCTACAGCAAAAGCCAGCAGGGTCCCGTGACGACCATCACCACTTCCAACTGCCATTAGCTAAGGCTCCTTGGGGAACATTCAGGATCCAAGGAAGCTTCAACACCTGCAAGAATCACTTGTTAACCTGGGAAAGGAACACACCTCTTAAAGTTCAAGTCAAACACCTTACACAGCAACCTAGAGCTGCCTATTCAGCAGGATGTGCCCCACAGGAGACAGGGAATGACTACCTGAGCTTCAGATACCCACATGACCACAGCCTTGCACATGTGGATGATTACCAAGCTTGCTGGTGCCAACAATCCACGGCTTTTCCCTTGCAGGGCTTCCTTCCCCTCCTTCAAGCATCTGGAAATCCTAAAACATTTGGAAATCTTGCACCCAGCAAGCCCAGACAGTCTTACAGCAATTCACAGAGCTGCAGTGTCCAGAAAGGTCCTTTCTGGGTCCAAAGTGGCATTGGGAGTAAGGAGCATGACTTGGACTTCTGGCTCTCCAGAGCTTCCATAGCTCTCCACTGTCACTGCTCACATTTCCCCCTCCATGCATGCTCCCAATTCTGAGGCATCCACATAAACAAATGCTTTCCAGATTCAGCAGTGATGAACTGATGAAGCATGAGCATTATTATGCATTAACTCTTTTTGGTCCCTATCAGAACATGCAGTACAGATGAAAGGTTATTTTGTGCAGAGAGCTTTTAATAGTAATACATCCTTTACAGGAAATTACAAAGCTCAGGGAGCAGATGTTGAGCTCACACTACACTTGCTCTGGACCACTTTGCAATAAAATATAAGATGGCAAAAATAGAAGACTGCAAAGCAAGTCTGCAATGGCACTGACATGTCAGTTAAGATGCTCTCTTTATACAGAAGCCATCTGCAGACTTTAGAAGTACCATTAAGCACATGCCAGCTCCTTTTCTACATCCTACTGAGTTAAGTACTATTAGTTACAAGACAAAAACAACATTATTGGCTGCTTGTTATCAGCTCAGGGTTTTTCTTTTCTGCCTTCCCAAAACCCAAACTATTACCCAACCCCACAGACATTAGGTGGTGGAAGTGCTTACTTCAGTTTTCAGACATGCAATTAACTGCTGTGCTGGGAGCTAAACATCACCCTACAAGATAAGCTTCTAAAATAATCTCGCATTCTCTGAGACGATTTGAACACAGTGAATTTTGAGATGTCAGTAATCATCTTAAGTATTGGATGATCCATTTGTGGGAAATAAGTCTGGTCCCACACACCTGGTTTCTCCATAACCTGTAGCACACAAGCAGCTGTGTTTGCAGGCCAAGATCAAAGCAGCAAACACATCACAGACGCAGTTGTCACCTCTCTGGGATGGAAAGGGTGTTGATGTATCAGTGCAAATCACTGAGAACACAGGAAGTTTGTCTGATATCCTCAGGACCAAACTGGTACACAAAGCTCCTCTCTTGTAACCTTGTTTCCCCCATGCTGTCCTCAGCAGCAATTAAAACAATCCATTTTAAACACAGGTAAAATTGGCTGATAAATTAGGCAACCTGAATGAAATTCCATTCCTGAGGTGACACTGGTATCTACAAACAGAGACATAAAACAGATTTCCTCGAACCCCAAGCAGGATTGCCCAAGCTTGGCACTCTAAAATGAAGATCCTACCCACTTGCTTTACACACACTTATCTATTTGATTTGCTTCATGTTTTTCCCCACAGTTTGTGAGAGCCTATAGCAACAAGACTGGTCTTTTCTTATACCTTCCCCCTTTTTTCTTTAGGGCTAAGGTTTACACCTCACTCTCTGGAGGCAGTTTTGGCCTGTCTCCCTTTACACTGCTAACTGGGTTCCGTTCCTCATGAATTTATAGAGGTGTGAAACTAACCTTCTGTGTTTCACAGCTCCTGCCAACAGCTTTGCCTGAGAAAATTTGTTCTTGTTTTCCACTGACTTCATGGGCAATTTCTTCTCAGTTTCCTTCTTTGGGTCCATACTGACTCCCACTTTAGCGAGAGTGCTGTGAATTAAGGGTTAAGGATCAACTGGGAAGGAAGGGGGAGAACAGACATTTCCTTCCTGATATATTTAGCCAGCTCTGCTGACAGCAGCGACCGAAGTTCATTCACATATTCTATCAAAATAAACTTATTTGTAATGACACTGAGCTGGTTGCCTCAGCCAAAAGAGAAGATACTTCGCCCTCTGGAGTCAGAGCTCTCTCAGGTATCAGGACCAGCCCTCCATGTGAAGATGTCCAGGCAGCAGCCTGGGAGCTGCTGTTCTGAAGCCAGAAAGGTGTAACACAAAACACCCAGCACCCATGAGCATATCCACAATCCTGCCTTTTCCTAAAGGCCTTAAAAAAGCAAAAAGGTGAAGCTGGACCAAACCAAACCAAACCAAACCAAACAAGCAATGCAGTACTTCCCCTACTATGGGGATCAACACATTGGTAATTCAAATTTGCTGCTCCACTCTCCAATCCTTACCAGAAAAGCTAAGTAGCAATACATGCACTCACTTCCACTCCCCAAACCCTCTTTTTGCTGAGTACAGCAGATTTCAGCCTATCAAGACAGAACAGTTCCATTTTTTGTGTTTGTTCTTTAGCATTCTACCTTATCAGCTCATCTCTCTGTAAGGTCCATAATGCTTCTACTGCTGGTCTCAGCACCAATCTCAAGAGAAAGGAGACATTGATTAAGGGGAACTGTGGTCCAAGATTCACCCAAAAAAAGACTGCAACTGCTCAGAAAAGTTAAGTAGATTAAAACAGTGTTAGCAAGGTGGAATGCAGCTGAAACCTATAATGAAGTGGAGAAGCTTAAGCAGCTACTCAGATGGGATAAGAAGGAGCTGGGCCTGTTTGTTAGGGGACACTTTGCACACACTGAACACGTCTCCTTGTGTGATGAAGAGAAATCTGTCAAAAAATCTGTCTGATCCTGTTTGTAGATGAAGTGCCAGGAGAGTCACACAAAATTCAGCAAAAATTTTAACTGCACAAGCAAAGGCAAATCAACCTGGTTGAAAAACATGTTTATAAACTCAAATCTAGTGTTCTAACAGTTTCTCCTCCAACTACAATTCCACAAGCTGGAGTTTCACAGGTGCCCCAGTCACTGCAGGCATATATTGGATAGTGAATTGCACGTTGATGGCTCATATATTTGAAGCCATAGCTTTTTTCCCCCCACTGAACATCTGAAAACCAAAAACTCTGCTTTGAAGTGACACTCAGTCTCCAATCACTTTACAACAGAAATGTTCAGATGCCATTTATTATTTGATTTTCCTAAGGATACAGCAATAACCCAGACTGTTCCTTACTTTAACCAAAAGTCTTCTCAGCCCAAACCATTGTTCAATTTTATCTATTTTTGAGATGGCACAGGAGTGCCATCCTGTGGCTGTCTGAAGTCACCTGAAAGCTCCTTGTGCCGAACTTGATTTGATGCTGCCACACAATTCTTCCACACACTGCAGCGCTCAACTGCCACATTTAGGTCCTTTACCTTATTATATTCAGAGCCTGGATGAGGAACTCAAAGGCTTTTCTTTTAAAATATACCAAATTACAGGCTTTTAGCTTCCATCCAGGATGACATTCTCCTAAAACTCCTCAACAAGAAAGGCACAGCACATTTTTAGTAGGTATTTTATACATCCTGCTGTCATTAGCAAATGTAATGCTATACCCAGCCAAGAAGTGCTCCCTCTCAGGAAGACAACATTAGAAACAAACTTCTCAATCTTAAATATCAACTGCACTAAACAAGCTGTCCTTCAGTAAAGCCAGCTTCTTGGAGGGGGACTGTTCCTACATTTAGATAGCAGTGAAGACAAGATGCTGTAGTTCTTAAATAGTTACTGGAAATGGCTTAAAAAATATTTGTAAATCTTTATCTGAACGGGGGGGGTCTGGATAGGGTAAGGAACAAACAAATCTTGCTGTTCATGCAGGAGAAAGAAAAATTCCTATTCATCCATGCATATGAATTTCTTATGCTCAAGTGTACATTAAAATACTCCAAGGCATATTTATCCTGAAGATGTATAATTTTGTGATTGTTCAACCTGAAAAATTAAGGGAAAAAAAACCTCTCTGTACTTGAATATTGATGCAGTTTTTATCATGAAATTAATGCCTCTGGTTAGCTTAAATTAGATGCTATACCAGGAAAAAGAGTAAGTAATGAAATCCATTGTGTTGACAATTTTCTTATTAATTTGGAAGAGCACTTAAACAGTAGCAATAAATGCAGCACAGTGGTTTTTGTCACTGCAGTGACAAACCATCAGTAACAACCTGAAGAAGCAAAAAACACTTTTGCATTTCAGAACACTGCCAAAAATTTCAAACACGAGTCATTTTGCTCTGAGGTTGCTTGAAATATTATGGTTAAATAAAAAGAATTTTAAAAAAGGAAATTAAATGGGCAATACTTGTGATTTTTTCATGAGATGAGCTAACTGTAAAACATTCTCCCTTCCTCCACCCCATCAGCAGTAAGTTCTACAGTTTAATTTTTACAGCAAGACTTCAGAGCCACCAACATTACTAAGATTGCAAAGACTGAGGTAAGATGGCTTGTACAACTTGATCAGGCTGTTCAGGGATCTGTGTGTTATGTGGCTAATTCAAGGCAACTCAAGATTCCCTCAGGGCTGCTATGGTTCACCCCAGATGTACGTGACTTAACGAGAGCTGCCAGCTGCTCCCACTGCACAGCCCTGGTTCAGCCAGCCCCGAAACGAAATCTGTCCCATGAGTACCCCAAGATTAGACCCAGCAAATCAAGAAAATACTCCAAATCCATCAGCTAACTGCAGCTTATTTCTGAAGTTTAAAAAAATGCATCAGGATTGCTTTTTCATAAACATATTCCTGAGCTAATTGAGATGCTCTTCACAGGACACTCAAACCAAATTGTAAATCATTGATTAACACAAGGTAAGACCAAACTTTGTAGTATCAGCACTATTCAATTTGATTTGCTGACTGGTTTAGGTCATCTCCTTGTGTTAACAAGCCCTTTCATTTATACTAAAGCTTCCCTGAGAATCTGTGTTTTGTTCACCCATAACACAAAAGCAGTGGAGACAAGGAAACCATCAGATTCTGCATAGGTTCAGTAAAACTCAAAAAAGCAACATTTTGCTTAACACAGAAATTCTCAAATCATTCCAACCTCCCCTGACTGGCACTAATTAGAGAGGAAAAGTATCCTATATGATTTTCTAGCATATCTACAAGAAAATTAGGCATTTAACAGCAAAGCCAAACTGTCCTGCTCTTAGTCCTGCCTACAAGTGTGTATTACTCAAAGGAGCTGAGACTCCATGCCAGCAGAAAGTCAGCACATCTGCACAGATGCATTTAATTTCTCATCCTGCAGGTATCAGCAAGGGAGAAAGTATCTAATACCCCAAGAAGAGTGAGAGAGAGCAATCCACACCTTATTTCAAACAGGTATGTTAAAACCAGGCAGTTAAAAAAAAAACCACACATAATTTTCCATAAGAAGACAAAAGCATAAGATTAGAAATAGTAGACTGGTTTTTCTTTATGTTCTTTTTCTCTTTTTAGTGATGGCATTCCATGATCTCAATAACAGAAAAAAAAACCCAAACCACAACCAAACCCCAAAACAATGAAGAGGGGGGAAGAAAAGAAGTATTAAAGAAATGGGAGTTGAGGGGAGAACATCAAACATTGCAGTGGTCTATCAAAGTTACAATGAAATCAACAAACTTTGAAAATGTATCACTATACACCTTTTGTAAAAAGCAGTTTTATAAAAAGAATGTCAACTGACAGAACAAACTGCAGCCCACTCTTACCCTCCTCTAGGTAACCACCAGCCATTTTAGTGCAAAGGATATTCTGTATTCATTTAGCTCTTTCAGCTCTTCTTCCCTTCGTTGCTTTTCTAGTAGCTCTTGCTGCCGAGAAACCTCATCAAGGAAATGTGTCTCATCTTCATCTAAGCCTCTTACCATATTTTCTGAATAAAGAAAGAAGAAATTTGTTGGTTTCAGACGCCAAATCTGTCTCCTCTGAATGTTCTTAAACCAACCAATAACTTAAAAAACCACACTACTTCCCTCAAAGGAGGAAGTACATATTCTTAGAACAAATTATTCCAACCTACTTAGTTTTTAATACCTGTTCAAATTTTCTTAAAAAATAGAAGCTAGACAACTCCTAATTTCCAAATAAAAACAAATTCTTTCTAAACATGCTACCCTACTTTAAGGAAAGTACATGCTAGTGGAGCAGGAAGTTTTTATTTCGTGTTCGGAAAAAGTTCTGTGCCTCTTGAGCAAATGATTTAATTAGAATGACAATAAACAGTATGATTTAGAAAGACCAAATCTTGCTGTTTGTAGTCATGATCAGGGATCTTAGCCCAAACATCACCTTTAGTCTTCATTAAAGTTTAATTCTATACGAAGATTTTTAGGCTTTTATATGAAGTCATCATATTTTTAATCTTCACCCAAACAGGCAAGCCCTAATCACTTTAAGGGCAAACTAGGAATCCATTTATATTGATAATTGGCAAGCTTGTGTCTGACAGAAATCAATTATTAGTTGAGGTTACTTTATAAAAGCCAATCCCTGCTTCTTCCAACTCATGCAGAGCTCATTCATAAATCTTTAAACAGTAACTTGTAGCACTCACTGCTACTGCTGAGGGCCCCTTCAGAGAGCAAAAGTAGTGAAATGTGGGACATTTTTTGAAGCAAGTGACATGAATTAATTTCATTTTCTGCCTGCCTCATCTGCAAAGTAAAAGGAGCAGCCACTGAGGTCCTTTGAGCTGAGGTTTTATTGAGGTTCCCTCCCAGGCACTCTGCAGCAGGTTTTGTTCTCCAGGTTAGCTGGTATCTGATATTCTGCTGTGGTTGCCTTAAAAGCAGAAGTGGGTTTGCTTCTCAGGACTACTTTCCATTCCAGTACTTGGATTACCAAAGGGTGTTGCAGATCTAATATAACTGGGCAAGAAAAACTATTCATTTAGACAGTGATTAGAAGCCCTTTCCACTCAGGCTGACAGCAGTCAATTTTTGGGTGGCTCCTTGGGGAAGAATTGCTTAGTCATATTACCAAAAATGACTGGGATCAAAAATTTACTGAAGTTTACTGGAAACTCTCTAGGTGGAAAGAATCCTGTAGGTCCAGCTGGAGACTTTCATGCATTAATGCTGCTATCTGTACTTGCCACTTATCAAAGGGCATTTCTATAAAACCAGAAATTCAAACATCAATATAAATTAGGTTCCCATTTCATTAGAAGAGTCAAACATCTACTTTTGAAGAATCAAAACATGTAAATGTACTTCTTCTAAATCGTAATCTTAACTCTCAAATCACTTTCAGCCCAATAATAATGGCTTGGAAATGTAATAGCTGCTCTAGGAGGACTTTAATTGATTCAAGCATGTATTAAAGCATGAGTTCACAAGTCACAAAACCACAATACATTTCCACTTTTTCATTTGATTGCTATCAAGTCTGTTTGGGGTTTTTTTGTTGTTGTTTTTTACTTTATATGCAATATAAGCTCAGTATTCAACACTTTACAGGCATGCAGCTTGATAACTACAAACACTTTTTGAGTTTCACACGTGTGCAGTGCTGCCTCAGTGTCCAGAAGGTGTTCCTTTAAAAATCCAGGATTTCAATAATACTCTCCTGAAGCCTTTGTTTCCCTCTCAGAGAGGGAGACAAGACACACAGATATGTCCTTTACTCAGAAGTTGTGCACAGCTGTTCCATACAACACATGCAGTTTGCTGCTGGTGCTTACTGAATTTAAATTGCTCCTCAAACTCCTGCTGCTTCTTTTCTCTCTGTTCCTGGAGCCTTTCATACAAGGACCGTGGGTCATATGCCTCCTCTGGGCATTCTGAAAGGAACAAATCAGGAAGGGAGACCATGTGTTAGAAACACTAAACCACCAACAGTTCTCAGTTCACTCATGTAAAAACCTTTTAAATTATAGAATATAAAAAGCCATTACTTTTTATTTCTATTTTGCACAAAAGTGAAAAATTCTCAGATCTTTTTCCTGTAATTACTAACACCTAGCCCATACCTTTTGGGTCCTCAGGTTTCCGGACCTTTTCCCATTCCTCTTGTCTTCTCTTTCGTCTCTCCTCTAGCTCTGCTTCAGACACAAACCTCTTGTTAATCACGAGGTCAGCAGTTCCATCTCCCCCATCCATTGTGGAATAGTGTCCCCTAAAAGCACAGCAGGCAAAAAACATCAGGAGTCTGATTATGCTTTTCAGTGAGTGAAACATTATTAAATATCCTGAAAAACAGACCTGCTGCCCTTACAATAACTTCAGTTCTCTAAAAAATGCTGCATAGTAAGCACTGGCTGAGACACAAACTCACTGCATAACTGCTAAGAATAATAAGCATCTATTACTCCTTCTCTACTCTTTTTTCATAATTATATCTTTCCTGCTAGTTGTCTGCCTCAGGCTGTTTTTCTGAAAGTCATGTTTTAATGGATTTACTTTGCTTAAATAAATATTTTTCAAAAGTAAAATGAAACACCCTCACCTACACTCTCATCCTTTTATATCTGTTCCTCCACGTCTGTTCTGAACAGAGATAAAGCGATGGCAAAACATCAAATCCCAAGTTCTTTTTGCCCAACCTATGAAAATTTGAGAAAGCTTGTCTGTTTTCAGTTGTTGAATGCATGTATTTAGAACTGATTAACAGTGAGAGTTCAGAAATTAGCAACTGTTCTGGTTTTGGCTGGGACAGAGCCAAACTTCTTAGTAAGTGGTACAGCTGTGTGGTTTGGGTTTGGTGTGACAATAACATTGATAACACTCTTGCAGTTTTTGCCTAAGTCAAGTCTAGCCTAAGTCCTCAGTGTCTCAGGCTCTGCCACTGAGGAGCTACACAAGAAGCTGTGAGAGAAAGTGACCAGGACAGTCCTGGCTGTCTTGAACTCACCGAAGGGATATTCCATAGAATCATGACCACAGAACACTGTGCCTGGTATAGAAACTGGGGGGACCTGGCTGGGAGGTCAACAGATGAGTGACAGAGGGAATTCCCCATGGCTAAAACAGAGCTGGGGTTAGAAAATGAGCAGCACTTCCCCTGGAGAGAGCACAGCCCCTTCCCACACAGTGCAGCCACTCTCTGCTTCAAAATTTCAGTACCAGGTGCAGGGTGGAGATGCTCCAAGTAGTTCAAGCTAACAAGGAAACTGTTTCTTGACACCTGTAAGCCCAAGATGAAGCAAACTGATTCTGTAAGTCCTAGGTGTCTCCTTTCAAAATTATTCTGCCAGCTCCATGCTACACAATGAAGCCCTAATGCCTGTTTTTGTTTCAAGCCTGTACATCAAAACTGTACAGAGAAGTACAACATAAACAAAAAACCAAAACAAAACATAAAGACAACAACAAAACCAAAAAAAACCCTCCAAACAAACAAACAAAAATCTCCAACACACAGAACTGTTCATTTAAAGACATGCAAATATAACTTTTTCCTACTTAATTATCTCCTTGGTACAACTGCAGCAAGTTAAGGACTGCAGATGACTGCTCACAGTTCTGCCAAGTACTATTCATTTGGGATCTCACCCTGTCTGCATTTCAGCACAATAGAGATCACAGAACATTAGTCTTCCAAGGAGGAAGGGATGCAGTAACCCAAATAAGGGAAGAAACCTGTTTATCATCCTTCCTCCATGCCACAAGGAATCAGTCCTGCAGGAAGTCCTGAAATCCTCACAAAAATTGATACTTTTGTGAGGTATTGCTTGAAACAAAAAAGGAAAAATTGATGCCTCAGGAGAAATTCAGGTTAGAGCACTGGACAAATATTTGTTGTAGCAGGATGCATTCTTAAGGTTAGTATTGATAACAAAAGTTAAGACAAAAGAATTCTCTTAAGAGCTGGGGACTGGAAGGACAGATCCAGGGCTGTAGACTTTCTCTTTTTAACTTTTCTATCTTTTTTAATATCTAATAAAAATATCCACCCTAAGACAAGTCCACTTTCCAGAAAGTGTGGAACACTTGCTCTTTGAGTGTAATTTCTGAAGGTGGTTCAAGCTGGAAAGCTACAGAGGAGATAAAAATTGAATCTCACTGCTGAATACAGGTCCTGATCACATGGCCAGCTTTCTTATCCAAATGCAGCATAAACAACATAATTTGTTCCTCCACTTGTATCATCTCAACCTACATATTTAGAGAGGAAACAAAATGTTCCAATATAATGCTGACAGAAAGTAATAAAAGCAAACTGAGAGAGAGGGATTCTGCAAGAACACAGTATCCTCTGGGGACTTAAAGCCTTCAGCAGCAAACCACCTGGGTCAGTCAGACAATATATTTTAAGATACATGAAGTGGATTAAGGTTTAGCTATGGTCTGAGATGCAGCAAAGGTGTTTTCAACACCATCCTGAAAACTGGTCTCTGATACTGACAACCCCATCTTAAGGAAAAAAGATGTAGGGAGAAGAAACCCCATCAAGCAGCATCAGATTAAAGTTCATTTGGACTTAAAAAGTTTGCTAATCTTGCTGTATTCTTTGCCCTCTCCCATCTGAAGCAAACACACACAAACCAGACCCTACAAAAAACATACACTTGGCAACTTCTCCCTATTTATCTATGTTTGCATCTGGTGACTGTATTGTAAGGCTATGCTGTCACTGCAAATGACAAAGGTTTGTCATAGTTGTTGCAGGTTTTTATAATACCAGATGGTAACAGGCCTAGGATCAAAAAAACTCACAAACTTCATAACCCGTGACACCACTTAGGCTGGAACAGATGTAGAGCAGTGACGGTGTGTTGGGCACCCGAGTGCACCTTCCAACACATTCGGCCCTCATTAAATAACAAAGACTACTTAACTACCCATTCCATAAACCCACCACTGATCCAGGTCGGGCAGCGCACCCCGCATCCCATCAGACAAGGCTCTGCGTGCCGAGCCTGGAGCCGCCCCGGACACGGAGGGGATGAATCGCTCCCCACCAGCCCGAACCCGCCCCCGGGCCCCGCTTCCTGCGGCGTCCCCGGAGCTCAGTGCGGGGAACTCTCCCGGGGGTGCCGGGCTCCATCTGCTCCGAGTCCTCACTGCCGCCTCCCCTCCCCACCTTCCCTCCAGCCCCTCATCCCGGGAGCGGCCCCCGGCCCGCCGCCCGCGCGGGGCCCAGGCCCGGCCCCCTTCACCCTGCACCCGAAGGACCCGGCGGCCCGAGCACGGCCGCTATCCCCGCCCCCGGGCGCTTCCTCCGGCCCCACCGCCCCGGGCCCGCCCCCGGCACGTACCGCAGCCCCTCACAGCGAGCGACACCGCAGGGCCCGCAGCGTCGCCATTGACCCCGCTCCTCTCCGCCGGCCGCCCCGCCCCTTCCGCCCGCCGCAGCCAACCGAGCGAGGTCTTCCTTCGGCGGCCCCGCCCACCCGGCAGCCAATCCCGGCCGCTCTTACGGCAGGCACAGCGGCGCGCGGAGCTGACGGGGGTTGGCCGGAGGGATGACGTCACTGCGGCCCCGCGCCGCGATTGGGCAAAGCTCTGGTGCCGGGGGCGCGGCCGCGGGCGGGGCGGGTCGCCCGGGAGACGGCGGGGGGCGCGGCCGCGGGCGGGGCGGGGCCTGGGCCGGGGCGGGGCCGCACCGTGAGTCGCCTCCATCTTTCGGCACAAAGGAGCGGCGGCAGCGCCGGGCCGGGGCTGGGCAGGGGCGGAGGGCGCGGGGTCCGCGGCGGCCCCGCTGCGCTCCCGGCGAGGCTGCGCGGAGCTGAGGTGAGTCAGGGCGGGCGCGGCCCAGGCTGGCGGGTGCTGCTGGGCTGGGGTAGAATGGGGCGCGCATCGGGTTGAAGGGAAGGGACAGCGCCGGGCTGGGCGCTGGTGGCCCCGTTGCCGGCCGTACATTAATCAGTAAAGGCACCGTGCTCAGCCCACCCCGCCCTCCGCTCCCCAGGCGCCACCGGCGCAGGTCCCGGTTGGGGTGGGGGCCGGGCCGGCGCAGCCCCCCGGCCCCAGACAGCGGCCCGGGGTCCCGTCGGCTCTGGTGGTTAATGCAGGTGCCCCAGGGATTGTAGGTACCCCCCGACTGCCTCGCCGGGGCTACTGGTGCTTCCCGTCCTGGGGAGGGCAAGCAGGGCGAAGAGGCGGGTGGCCAAGGTGCAGCCCCCGGGCTCGCTGAGCTCTCCCGGAGGCCCCGGAGCTGGGCAGAGCCGGGCTGGCGTGTGGAGCTGGGAGCTCGCTCAAGAAAGAGGCAAAAGGTGAATGAACGGAGGGTTTGGCGAGCCCCGAGCCCGGCGCTGCTCGGGGCCGGGAGGGGTTGGAAGTTCCTAACGGCGCCTCCCGGTGCGGGGAGAGCTCCCGGGGCTCGTATGACTTGCAAAACAAGGGCTTGGCTACGGCGGGTTTGGGGTGCGAGGGGCAAAGTGACATCGAATCGCGGAATCGCAGCCCCGACGTGCTGCTGTGGCAGCTCGGAAACGCGACAGTGGTGCTGAGCCCTTGAGTGTTGTTACAGGAATGTGAGGAGTCAGAATCCTGAAAACTTTATTGCTCTCAGTGTGAAAGTGTTTCTCGACAGCAAGTTTTCTGTCTTTGCAGAGGAGATGTGAATGTGTGGACCGGGCCACCAAATGCACTCGTTTACCTGGATCTTTTATTTCTTTTGCTTTCTTGAGCGGTAGATTAGGCAGCGGCACCTTCGCTACGGGTGCGGTAACACCTCGGCTCTTTTCTGCTCTCCCACTTCAGTGCTTGTAAAGCAGGATTTGTTCACTGCTTATATTTACCCATATAGAGCATGAGTTTCTCTTTTAAGCCCTTTCATTCTGTCCTGCTGATCGCTGTTTCTGTCTCGCAGGCCTTCATTGGCCCCCTGTTTTTAGGAACTGCCTTTTTTTATATGTTCTGCTATGCAGTAGGTGCACGGTCCCTTCTAGGTACAGTTTTAACGTAGGTCCCAAGGATGACTGTAGTTACCTTACCCTTCATTTTCTGTTTTGTTATTTCCTATTCTCATCAGGCCAGAGTTCATTTTGGTGCTCAGCCAGTGTTATCAGTTTTTCTGACACAGTGAAACTTTGGTTCATGGAGAAACACAGACAAAAGAGCTGCCTTTTCTCTCCTAAATTTATTCAGCTTGCTCCGTTTTCTGAATGCTGGTGTGTTTGGTGATTTTTTTTTTTCATTTTATGTCTGTGTCAGTGTTTGTTTTCTTCAATATAAGGGGTTTTTTTTCCTACTTAGCACTAGCTTTGCCTCAGGATTTTAGTTTTTCTGTCCTTTGTCTTCCATTGAATGCATGTATTTGATTGGTGTTGTTTTCTTTTCTCATGCTGGTTCCTCAGCTAAGTTCTTCTTTTCTACTAATTTTCTGTACATCCATCATTGCTATGAGATTATTGTCATGTGGAAACCTACATCCACTTGTGTACTGTGACTTTGCCTTGTTTTCTTCCTGGTATTAAAATTTTTGCTATTTTCTTGTTAAACTATACAGATTTTTAAACAGTGAATGCTCTCATCACCTTTGAGCCACCTGAAATATTCCCTAGCTTCTCTCCTCCTCTTGCACTCCTGCTCCTGTATTTGACCGTGGATTTCCAGACGACTGTGCATTCTCAAAACTTGTCATATTATTTTAAGAGTCTGTGGTGCTGTTAAATGTGTTTTTGTTTGCATTTATCCAAATGCACAGAATTGATCTGTTCTTTGATCTAAATCTGGCCCATTCTCCTATAAGCGCTTTTGCCTGTGTCTTTGTTCTCTGCTCAAGTCCACTCAGCAAAAGAGGCCCTTTCTCCTCCTGGCACCCATTCCTCTGTCTCTCCCTTTAGGACATTGCTGTTATTGCTTTGTGCCCCAATCTCTGCTGTTTGTTCCTATTTATAGGTCTGCTTGAACAGATTGTGAATTTCCCGTGGTGTGTTCTTTTTCAGATGAGTGAAGCACAATTGTAGTTGTGTGATCGCTTCTTGTCTCTTCCCTTTTCATCCAGACATTCTCTTGAGGTTCCTGCTAACTGAAAGTTTTCAGCTTTCCCTGTCCATCACTTGAGCGGGAAGCTCCTCCAGGGTATTTTAGTGCTGTGTTTTGCATTCTGCACAACTCTTGTTATAACTCTTGCTGATGCTGATTGTTTATTAGCTTAGTCTTGGTTGTTTACCTACTCTTAGATTGCTGATAGACCTAATCCAGCTTGTCCACACACCTCTTATCATCAGCTGTGATACCAGTGTGTGTTTGCAGGAGGGTGGGCTTACTGGTTTCCCTGAGGTCTTTAACTTTCCTTTTTATTTACCTTCAGTCTCCTATACATGGAATTTCACT